GGCGGCCACCTGGCCCGGACCACCCCGGCCCGCCGCGCCGTCAACAAAGTGGTGTACGATGATCACGAGAGCGAGGACGACGACGAGGAGGAGGACATGGTCTCGGAGGAGGACGAGGAGGAGGAAGAGGACGGCGACGCCGAGGAGACCCAGGATTCCGAGGACGAGGAGGAAGATGACATGGAGGAGGACGACGATGACTCCGATTATCCGGAGGAGATGGAAGACGACGACGACGACGCCAGTTACTGCACGGAAAGCAGCTTCAGGAGCCACAGCACATACAGCAGCACTCCAGGTACCCACCCAGGCCGCCTGGAGACTCCTTCCCCACCTCCTCCCCTCCCCCTGGCTTGCTCCCTCTCGAGTGCAGTGCATCCTGCTTTCCAGCTCCCCCCACCACCACTCCGGCCTGCCCCCCACGCGGAGGCCACGGCGCGTCTAGTGACAAAAAAAAAAAAAAAGACAAAACAAAACTAGATTTGCAAGAGGAAAGAGGCGCATTGTTCAAAATGGAGATTGCATTGTTGCAGTTTGCAGGCCACACACTCGTTCGCTCTCCTTCTCCCCCCCTCCCTCTCCTCTTCAAAATTTGTGCCAAGTGCGGTGTCTGCACCAGGCAGGATTGAAACTTTGGCACACACGTATCCATTGAGTTCGTTTTTCTCCCCTTGTTTTGGTATGAGTATTTTATTTATTATTTTGCAATGAAAGAAGCCTTCTGCTTTGCAAACCGTTGCGTGTCTAATGCGTTTTCTTGTAGATTTGGAAAAATGACCTGTTCCTTAGAAGAGAGAGTTTGGATATTGTGGTAACACGCATAGATGGGCTTCCCTTCCTACCCTTAGTCATAGAGTTTGAAAACTGTTTTGGAGGTTAGCAGGGAGCTTCCTCTGGTCCTGTGCGTTTGTTTGTGTTCTTCGAGTGCTCCTGGGCGCGTGCAACAGTTGCTGGTAAATGGTTGATTAAAGAGCAGACCAGAAAACCAGACCAAATTTGCCAAATTTGGCAAGTCTTCCGATTCAGAAATCGCTTTGGTTAAGTTCCAAATAAAAGTATAACACCAAAGGGCCGTGTGTCCTAACCAGCTTGGTCTTGGCTTTGCGTGGGAGACGCAGTGTCGCGGCACCTGTTGCAGAAGATGTGTAGTTGATCATCTAGGCGTAATTGCTGAAGATGAACATTTTGAAGTCACACAGTGTAGAAATGTCAGCTTGCATCCGACAGAACTTTCTCTTGTTAGTCTATTTCTGAGGGAAAAAGCCCTTCCTGGACGTGTAGTGGGTTTCTCCGTGGTGGCTTCTCGAACGTTTTCTCACCTAGTTTCTTGAGATTGGCCCTGAGATGTGTCTTGTTTAAATAAAACGCACACAAAACAGTTGCTTCTTTGTATTAAGTGAATAGTTATGGGGGGGGGGGCGGGGGAGCCTGTAACTTGTAGCAACAGACTGTCAGGTGATTGATTCCTTTATATTTCTATTTACCTAGATTAACAAAATTAAAATCTAATTTTAAGGACATTTACCAAGTAAAAAGTTAAAGAGGACATATGATGGTCTTTCTTATGAGAGCCTGCCATACCATTTTCAGAGAAGACTAGGGTAGTTGAAGTGGTTAAATTTAAATGTTTCCATTTTTAAAAAATAATTGCTTAAATTCTTAACTGCTACAAGTATGAGAATTAAACCAGATTAGATTGTGTTAACGTCAAGTGAAAAAAGCTAATTTCGTTTGCCTGACTCTAAGAACAAGTTGCTTAGCTGAGGGGGCTTGGAGGAGAGCCTTGGAGGGAGACTGTCTTTTAGCAAGTTTAATTTCTTGCCAATTTAGTGCATCTTTTATAGTAATAGATGTTACTTTAAGAAATTACAAGTTGGGCATCTTTGTACCAAGAGCTCCGAATTGAACCGAAGACTGACATACAGCAGTGGAGGAAGTTGGTTTTGAGTTAGAACTGAGGCATTTTGGCAGAACACTTGAGCTAACTTTTAACTCCCTGAAGCCCTGACAGACAGTACTGATGAACTCCTGGGCATATGCTGAATTAAATTGCAGGGTGTGGTTAGGGGGGTCCTTTTTAAACAAACTATTATGTATCTATCTGGGACAGGTCCTCTCTAAATAGCCCTAGCTGTCCTAGTACTCACTATATAGACCAGACTGGCCTCGAACTCACAGACACCCACCTGCCTCTCTGCTTCTCAAGTGCCTAGCAAGCTTGTGTACTTAATTTCAAAGACATTTCTCTTCCAGTGACACTTGTAACCTACCTTGGTGTACACTTGTCCTATATTTATGTGAATTAATAACTTATAAGAGTAAGCTTTGATCTTAAACATTCTGCAGCTCCTAATTGACATGCATATGGCAGATATGCATGAAAGACTGATTGAGGAAGTTGTTAGTGAGAAATTTGATAATTCTGTAGTAGGTGCCATAAGTTAAATGATCAGGTTTTAAGAAACTAAAGTTGGTGTGATTAAATTTTGATGAACACTTCAACTAGTAACTTTCTAACAGCAGAGTATACCTAAAAAAAATTTTTTTTTTAAATAGATGTGGGGTTTGTTGTTGTTGTTTAAATTATGTGTCTGTGTGAGGGTATGTGCAGGTCAGATCCCTTGTCGCTGGAGTTTCAGATGGTCCCAGAGCCATCTGGCATGTGTGCTAGGAACCGAACTCAGGTCTTCTGGAAGAGCAGTAAGTGCTCCTAAGGTTGAGCCGTCTCTACTGTTTTAAACTGTTCTTTCTTCTCCTTTCTCTATTGGCTGTGGAGTTAGCTTTAGTGTTTAGTCTTTTGAAACAAATTACTTCTTCAGATGATGATAAAAGAATGCTACATTTTGTGTTTCCGACTTCCAGGGTATGTCCACTTGTTTGCAGTGAGTATCCATGGCAGCAGTGAGTTGTTTATTGTGCCATTAGTTTTATTCTTGGTACACCTAGGAGGAGACTTCAGGTCAGTGTGTATGTGTATGTCTTGGTTAAGATATACTTAAGCCACTCTGGGACAGCCAGGGCTGCACAGAGAAACCCTGTCTGGAAAAACAAAAAGATACACCGAGGGCAGGTCCAGTTGGGTGTGGTGATGCACACCTTTAGTTAGTCCCATAACTCTGGAGGCAGAGGCAGGAGGATCTTTATGAGTCCAGTCTGGTCTATATAACAACTCTAGCCCAGCCAGGACTACTACATAGAGAGAGACCTGTTTCAAAAAAGAGCAAGTCCAAATAGAAAAGTTGGGGGATGCGTATTGTATAGTCAAGGAAGGCTAAAGAGTTTAGTTGCTTGTTTTAGATTTTTATTGTATGTGAATTGGTGTTTTGTCTGCATGTATTTCTGTGAGGGTGTCCTGTCTCCTGGAACTGGAGTTATAGACAGTAGTGAGCTGCCATGTGGGTGCTGGGACTTAAACCCGGTCCTCTGGGACTTAAACCCAGCCAGTGCTCTTAACCACTGAGCCGTCTCCCCAGCCCTCGTTAGGTTAGTTTCTGTCGTTAGAACGTTGGCTTGAGTATTACTGGCATATTAGATTCCTGGTAAAGGAGCTGCGGATGTAGTTCAGCTGGTACAGTGCTTGCTTAGCATGCTTGAGGCCCTGGCTTCAGTTTCCAGCACACAGACGCCTGTCATCCCAGCGCTCTGGAGGTGCAGACAGGAAGAAGAGAAGTTCGTGGTCATCTTTAGCTACAAAGTGGTATACACAGTCTGGCTGACATCAGATCTTAACTAACTAAATAGTATGCAAGTAGATACCACTAAATAAATTACTTCAGAAGTAAGTTCTTAGTATAACAAGTAATTCATTGACCTATTTATTGAGTACACTGTAAGTAATGTAACTGTTGATGCATGCAGATTGTCTTATTAAGGTTACTATTGCTGTGATGAACCGCCATGACCAAAAGCAACTTGGGGAGGAAAGAGTTTGTTTGGCTTACATGTCCTGAATCACAGTCCATCGAGGGAAGTCAAGACGGGAGAACAAACCTGGCTGGAACCTGGAGGCAGGAGCTGATGCAGAAGCCATGGAGGAGTGTGGTTTATTGGCTTGCTCTCCCATGGCTTGCTCAGTCTGCTTTCTTACAGAACCTAAGACCATCAAGCCAGGGGTAGCCCCACCCACAATGGGCTGCCTCCTCCCCCAATAGATCACTGATTAAGAAAATTCTCTACATACTTGATGACTTATAGCTTGCTCTTTTGGAGGCATTTTCTCCATTGATATTCCCTCCTGTTACCTGATTCCAGCTTGTGTCAAGTTGACATAAAACTAACCTGTACACAGATACTATTAAAGTTACAGATTTTAAAAGTTTACTATTTATTTATTTTGCAGGAGGGCAGGTTTGGACTCAGGGTTTCTCTGTGTAGCCCTGGCTCTCCTGGAACTTGCTCTGTAGACCAGGCTGGCCTCAAACTCAGAGATACCCTCATGAGTGCTGGGATTAAAGGCATGCCCTATTGTGCCAGCTTTAAAAGTTTATTTTGTTTAGCCAGGCGGTGGTGGCACATGCATTCAGTTCTCAGGAGGCAGAGGCAGGCAAATCTCTGAGTTGGAGACCAGCCTGATCTACAGAGCAAGTTCCAGGACAGCCAGGGGTACATGGAAAAACCCTGTCTCAAACAAACAAACAAACAAACAAACAAACAAACAACTCAAAAGTGTCCCCCCCCACCCCACCCCCACCCCCCCACCCCACCCCCGGGTTTTTCGAGACAGGGTTTCTCTGTGTAGCTTTGCACCTTTCCTGGAACTCTGTAGACCAGGCTGACCTCAAACTGGAAGAGATCTGCCTGGCTCTGCCTCCCAAGTGCTGGGATTAAAGGCGTGTGCCACCACTGCCCAGCTCAAAAGTTTATTTTACTGGGGAAATTTCCTTTTGTGACAGCAGTTTATTTCAGGCTAGCCTGGAACTCATTGCCATCCTCCTGCTTCAGTCTCTCAAGTACTGGGATTAAGGTGTGAGCCATCACACTCTGCTGATTGCTTTCTTTTCATTGGGCAAAAAAGATTTTCTCCACAGGTCAAATACTACTGTAGAGATGTTGATTATAATGCAAACTTGAAATCATCTCATTTTTGCTTGGGGCCTTTGGTTGACGAAAGCGTTTATCAGGGGTTTTTGTTGTTGTTTTATTGGTAAAAGTTTGAGTTAGGGGCCTGGAGATATGGCCCAGTCTTTATTTCTATAGCCCAGTGTTTGTTGCTCTAGAAGAGGTCCCAGGTTACATTCCCAGCACCCACATGGTGGTTCACAACTCCAGTTCCAGAGAATCCATTGCCCTCTTCTGATC